CACTACATCCACATCGGTATTTTGGTTGTTGAGAAGCGAATGGTAGTGCTTTTTCCAGAGCTGAAGGATGCCTTCTTCGTCTTTAATTAGGGAATGGCCATCAGATGAGCGGAGAGAGGCTGCGCCATGAGTGATTGCCCCCCCAACCCCCGCCCCACCACACACACACCCTCCTTCATTATAACCCCCGTGGCTCTCAAGGCTACTGGTGGCAGATTTCATCATCAATAATAAAATTTTTGCTATCCTGTTCTATCTGTCTAACCTATTCTTCCACCCAGGACCGAAGACGAGGGGGGGGAGAGGGTGAAGGGTGCTGGGGGTGAGGGATCAACAGGATGAAAGCAGTAATATGGACATTTTCTTATCACTTGCAAAACTCTGTCTTCTGATAGTTTTTCACTATTCACAAGAAAGGTTTATAATATCCCACTTAGAAGATTTCCAAACAGAGTATTTACATCTGTACGTAATTCAAGATTATAAACTAACCTAGACTAGAATTCAGAATATAAACACAGTACTGTATGTGGCAGGGAGTCACACTACTGTACACACTTATGACTCAACTTATGGGAAAATTGGGTATGTTAGGTGAAGCCTCCCTCTCTCTTTTCCTCCATTTCTTCCCTCCTCTTCTTCCTCATCACTTCTCTCCTTTATCCCCCCCTCTCTTCCTCCATCCCTTCCTCCATTTCTTCACCACCCATTTCTCCCCTTTTCTTTTTCATCTACCTTCCACACTCTCATCCTTCCCTCTCCCTCGCCCCTCCCCTCCTTCCCCATACCGTCCTCCCCTTTTCTTCTTTATCTCCCATCCCCATTCTCATCCCTCCCTTTCCGTTCACCACCATCATTCCTCCAACTCCCTCCCTCCCTCCAGTAGCTTGCGGGTGACCCACTTATTACAAGGGAGGAGTCGAGCTGTGTGTGTTGACATTACTGCACCCGGGGCGGTAATATATGCCCTTGCTCTTCCCTCTTGCCCCTTGCCCTCCCGCCTGGTCCCTTGCCCTCTCTATATATATCTTGCTCTCAAATCTTGCCCCTTGCCCTCTCCACCTGCTCCTTATCCCACTCTTCTACCCTTTGTCCTTTCCTCTGGTTTCTTGCCCGTATCTCCTACCCTCTGCCTTCAGTCCCTTCCCCCTGCTCCTTTACCTCTTGCCCCTTAACCCTTACCTCCTCCTGCCTCTTGCCAACTCATTCCCCTTGTTCCCCTCACACACTAACACACACCCACACACACACACACACACACACACACACACACACACAGAAGAAGCAATGACCGGGAAGGCTAGTGGTGGTGGTGGCAGCAATAGTGATGATGTGGTGATGGTGGTGTCAAGTAGTAGAGGTGGTGGCAGGGTGGTGGTTGGCAGTAGTGGTAGTGGTGGCAGTAGTGTTAGTTGTGGTGGCAATGGTGGTGGTGGTGGTGGTGGTGGCAGTAATGTTGTGGTGGTGGCAGTAGTGGTGGTGGTGGTGGCAGTAGTGGTGGTGGTTTGGTGGATGGTTGTGATGGTGGCAGAGTGGCAGTGGTGGTGTGGTGTGGTGGTGGCAGTGTGGTGGTGGTGGTAGTGGTGGTGGTAGTGGGTCAGTAGTGGTGAGGTGGCAGTAGTGGTGGTGGTGGCAGTGGTGAAGTGGTGGTGGTGGTGGTGGTGGTGGTGGTGGTGGTGGTGGTGGTGGTAGTGTAATGGTGGAGGTGGTGGTAGCAGTGGTGGTGGTGGCAGTAGTGGTGGTGGTTGTAGTGGTGGTGGCAGTAGTGGTGGTGGTGGTGGTGGTGGTGGGTGGTAGTGTAGTGGTGGTGGTGGTGGTGGTAGTGGTGTAGTGGTGGTGGTGGCAGTAGTGGTGGTGGTGGTGGTAGGTGGTGGTGGCAGTGGTGGTGGTGGCAGTGGTGGTGGCAGTAGTGGTGGGTGGTGGTGGTGGTGGTGTGTGGTGGAGGTGGTGGTAGCAGTGGTGGTGGTGGCAGTAGTGTTGGTGGTGGTGGTGACAATAGTGATGGTTGTAGTGGTGGTGGTGTGGGTGTAGTGTAGTGGTGGTGTAGTGGTGGTGGTGGCAGTAGTGGTGGTGGTAGCAGTGTGGTGGTGGTGGGCAGTAGTGGTGGTGGGTAGTGGTGGTGGTGGTGGTGGCAGGTGGTGGTGGTGGTGGTGGTGTAGTAATGGTGGTGGTGGTAGCAGTGGTGGTGGTGGCAGTAGTGTTGGTGGTGGTGGTGACAATAGTGATGGTTGTAGTGGTGGTGGTGACAAAGTGATGGTTGGGTGGTGGTGGTGACAATAGTGATGGTTGTAGTGGTGGTGGTGATGGCATAGTGGTGGTGGTGGCTGTGGTGGTGGTGGTGAGGCTAGTGGTGGTGGTGGCTGTAGGTGGTGGTGGTGGTGGTGATGGTGGCAGTAGTGGTGGTGGTGGTGGTGGTGGTGGGCAGTGGTGGTGGTGGCTGTAGGTGGTGGTGGTGGTGGTGATGGTGGCAGTGTGGTGGTGGTGGTGGTAGTAGGTGGTG